TTTTGTAAAACGTTTACACCGCCTATTAAATTGTCTATGCTCCGATTAGACGTTCTAGGCACTAGGCATTGGGTCACAAAAGCAATACCCACAATTTGGACTCCCGACATTAAAACTCACGTAAAAAACATTAATTTTACCAAAGTTGTAGAAGAGAAAAAGAGATATATAAGAAAATTATAGCGTCAAATAAAAAAAAAACTACTGAAGTTTTTTTTGTTTTTAACGTCTGGAGTTTATTGTAATATCCACAATTTGGAAATAGTATATGAAATAGATTAAAAAGAAAACAACAACTTCGATGAAATCCTAAACAGAAGGATGCTTTGATGCTATTACAAGACTTCTCGGATTATACGATTATGAAGTCATGTCGGACATTCCAGTGCGAAATAAAGACTAAAATATTCCATCTCTACTGACCATTTTCGTGATTTTTCGCATAATGGCATTAGAGCCAATAGATTCAATCTCAAATGAGCACTTCTCAAACTGCGTTTATAAAGATTGGATCTGATTCAATAAGGAACACTATCGTGGACACCCAGAGGGTTTTGCGATCGCTTCCATGGCAACTTGACAATCACTAGCCACGACAATGTCCTTAAGTACAAGTCCTTAAGACTAAAGTTTAAAATAGTTTTCCAGTTTAGAAATAATTTTCCACTTTAAGAAATAAGGGATACCAAAACTAGCGCAACTTAATCGTAACAAATTCGATATTCGTTGATTCAAGTGGATAGCCAAATAAAGAACCAAATTTAATGATCGTTGTTCCTAGAGAATGCTAAAGTTTAAGAGAGTACTTGTAAAAGTTCTGAATGATTCAATAAAACAACGGCCTAATTGTTACACAAATGAGGGTTTAAATAATAATAAGGAAAAAGAAAGGGGATATACCCTAGAACTTATCAAAATCATATATATAAGTAACAAAACATCGACCGAACCATTTTGGAATTCTAAACAAAACGATGGTTCATAGTGTCATCACCGTAAGAGAAACATTTGGGATTGGAGACATTTCGAGAGATAAAACATGATTTACATCATTTGCTTATGTAACTCTATGTATCCTTTTATATAAACTCTGCATTAGTATACAAAAAACGAGAGATCATATTTACTAGAATCAAATGTTTTATAAG